TATGTTTTTATTAGAGAAAAAATTGAATCATTTTATAACGATGTAATCAAAGATGATTACCAAAGACTCGGTTTGGAGGATTTAAACAAGGTAATCCAAAATAATAATTATAATAACCCGGATAAAATAAATAAGGTTGCTATTTTAAATAGTATTCGCATGCAGCCGGGGTGGAAAAAAATGAACGACATAAAAATCAATGACCGTATAGATGGTAGAATTAGTATCGATGCTCTAATAGAAAAACATGTCTGCGAAGACAATTACGACAAAGCTGTCGAACAGTTCATATTATTTTTAAGTTGCAGATTTGTTCAACGATTGAGAACGCTCAAGTACACGTGGTTAGGATTTATCAATAAATGTCGACAACAAGAGAAGGAAACGAGTTTTGCATACTGCGTTAGTAAACTCCATAGTGTGTTCAAAGAGTCAAGTCACATGTTGATTCGCATGAAAGATGGTTTGGATGACATGGATAAACTTTCATCGAATACATCTAGTTGTTATTACAATTATCGATTCAAGATAATATTGCACATTATAGAAAATGCGTTTGGTCACATTAATAATTATCCAAATCCGGTTTTTTTGAATAAAGATGACGATATTAATGAAAAATTAACTAAAGACATATTTCAAAGCATTTCTGGTATTGTAAAAGATATGGCTCTCTCGAATTATATGATAAAGAAATCTTGTAGTATAAAAAAAACTAAAACAAGTTATACTTATTTCTTAAAGAATTACAATAATTTGAAGGATAAATCTGAATATTCTAACGATGAATACGTGTATGTTAGTGAAAAAATTAAATTGCTTTACAAAAGTGTGATAGAAAATGATTATATTCATCTAGGTTTGGATCAGTTAAACTCGATACTCCAATAAATTTTACAAGTTATGTACACTACGAACCAATTTATAACACAAAAAAAACCATTATTACTAACCATTATTGTTTATTGTTTTTTACATTTTCTTTATTAATTTTATAATGTTTTTTGTACTGACTTCTTTTGCATTGCGCAAATTAACATTTATGTCAGTGAAATAAATTGTTATGTATTATTTTTTCGTTCAAATGCGTAAAATACTTCTCTATATATATATAAAAGAAGAAGCCCTGAATGATTCATAATCAACACACAGCCTAAACTATGATAGCTAGTGACTTGAAATTTTAAGGGTATGTTTGTATAATTGTCTAGGCGTGCAATAAGAAAGGTTTTTGAATAATTTTTATTTTAAGGGGTTAGAATGGGCAAAAATCAAAATTTAACTAGCTGAATGACCTTTATGCATTTGTACACCATTCATCCGAACGCCATGAAACTTTGGGAAGTAATTTAGTACACTCCCACGTAGGTTTCTGGCATAGTACTTTTTGAAAATTTTACAGCCTTGAGAACTGCCTTGAGAGCTTTTTGTAATTTTTTTACTCAGCCCTGTTAAACTAAATCCCGGGCAACGCCGGGTCGGGACAGCTTGTATACTACATGAGAAATATCAATTTAAAAATTATTAAGGTTCAAGGGTACTATTAAAGTAGTATTATTATATTATATGTTAATCGTTGGTAAATTTTTCTAACTTATAATGCGTATCAATAAATAATAATTCTATGTCTTTGTTCTAAATAAGTGTTTGACAATTAAAGTACATTTAATTCGCCATTTTGTTTTGTAATAGTAGTTACATTGAATGTATTGCATTAGTAGTGTTGTTGTCAATCTGATAGCACAGCAGTGCGCAGGGCAAGTCCCATAACAAAAAAAAATCAGTATCATTTGTACTCACATAAGAGTTACGCGTGTGATGGGAAAGAGAAAATTGAGAAGAAATAAAAAGTTCCAGATAATCAAAACGTATAGAAATGTCTTTAACAGAACATACAAAGAGCTGTAATTACACTTTACCAGTTTCAATTTTCGTTCAATACAATTTCTTTTTGCTGCTCTTTCTGTACTTAAATTGAGAATCCAATAAGTCTTACGGTTCTAAAGAATATTCAATTGCAACTAAAATAATAGGTGCTTTGTTAACAGATTTAGTAGTATCGTAAAATATAAAACTACTGGTAATCATTTTTTTTCCCAAATACTCGTTACTCGCACCACTAAATAGGATTATTGCAAATAAACGAGTCACGATATATACTAGTCGACGGATAGTATTTTATTGAAACTTGACTATTAAAATATAATTAGAGAAAAGCAGTGGCGTTATTTCAGTTTTCGCAAGTGGGGAGCAAATGTTTTGACCGGCCCATGAACTGAAAAATAACCACTAGCAAGCTTCTTGTCAAGATTTTATTGTCCTACATATATTTAAATTTTAAGAAGATTTTCGGATTAAATCATTATTCATCCCATTTATTTACATTTCATATTTTCGCATGTTTCACCCTAATTTTCATTCTATTGAAAAAAATGTATTTTTTAAATATTTTAACGGGAGTATTATTTAAAAACAAAATCAGAGTTTTTCTATTTCTTGAAAAACATGCATAAACATGTGTCTATATTTTATAGTACAAGTCTTTTTACCACAATACATTGTTTTTATCCCATTAAAGCTTGAATATGTGACTTGTTATGTTTTTTCGACTTCATGTTTTATAGGTGTTTTTAAAACGAACCAAGAGCGAATATTATAAAAGTGTATGTTTTGTGTTTTAAATATTTTTTTTTTTTTACAACAAAATTCAAAACAAATTTTTTGATTGTTATGTTTAGTTCGTTAACATGAACTTCAATTTGTTTCTCGTTACAGTTTATTTTGTTCTGAACTTAATTGCCTACAATGTTTCTCAAGATATAAAATCAAAACACGTTCAAGCTTTAAACGAGTTACGTTTAAATACCGGCTGGAAACATCTGCAAGATGTCGTTATCAAGGACAGTCGACAAATTGTGTGGGACGTCGACAGTATATTAACCGAAGAAGTTACTTTGCAGAACTTGAGCAATAAAATTGAGCAATACCTTCTGCTATTAACATGCAGTTACAAACAAAGATTGAAAACCCTCGGGTCCGTCGTACACGGCTTCTGGATGCATTGCCTAAAAGAAAAGAATAACAACCATAAGTTGATTTTCAATTCTTGCAATAAAGAGCTTAGCGTTTCGATAAAATCTTCATGTATAATGTTAAATACAATGGCAACCGGTGTAAAAAACATGATGAAGTTTCCGAAATCATTTTGGGCCACCGCTAGTAGAACCTTTCTTCAAAAAATCAAATATTTAGTTGCAAAAGTGTGCAGTTTCCAACTCCACGGTTCAAAACCAGAAAGTCAAAATGTTGGCGAAAGGTTGTATGCAGACCTCAAAACTATGGTTAATGAAATTTATCCAGCATTAAAAATCAAATTTAAGAGTCCAACTTGTGTTATAAAAAAATATAAAGCTTTTGAAGATTTAGAAACCTTATTTAGAAATTCACACAGAGAATCGTTTAAGGAAGTATCGTTTCATTCGTTTCTCAATGCGGAATTGGAATTTTTTTATATAGAAGTTATTGTAATGGAATACGAAAATCTAGGGTTGGATACATTTTGATAATGGCACAATAATTAATATAATTTATATTTTATTTATTTGTTATTGTCATAAAAATATCTTGCTATCCGTTTTATTATGCGGTAGTATTTTATTTTAATTAACTTCTAGCAATATAGCTTTTTATTTGTCATTATTTATTAAAGGTTTCTCCTCCTCCCCAAAAAAAATAATGTAACACACATATTAACCTAACTAACGTAAAGAAATAGCTTATTAATTATAATTCACACAGAAAGATATATAAGAAAAAAGTTTTGTAATATTTCAGAAATACAAAAATAATATTTTACCATCTACCTATACGTTTTATTATTATTATTATTTTAGTTATTTTAACCCTATTGTTTAAATACCTAACATAATATTTGAGCTTACTTACAACTCTTAATAAGGTCTAGTGGAATCAACTAAAATTCCTTTCAAACAAAACTGATTTTTTGACATTTTTATGTCTTTGCTATGGCCCACACACGGAAAATCGACACCGACACCGGCTATCATAACGAAAAATAACAGCTGATTTATCTGATAAGAGAGATAAGAGATAAGGGAAGAAGATAGGGGATGATAGATGGGTTGAAAGTTAGGGGTAAGAGATAGAGTAAAAGATAGGGGTGATATATAGGGGGTAAGAAATGAGGGTTGGGGTCGGGGTTGTGAATGGGGGTTGGGGCATATATGTTGTATTCACAACGTTCAAAATAGAAATGAATAATAAATTAGGCCACATTCTCTATGAATTGTTTTGGGCCAGATATTATGAAAACACTAAAGTATTAGCCAGAAACTTGATATGTTTACTAGTAAAAATGTATCCCGTGGTGTTGCGAACTCGTACGCAAGCTGTTAAAATATAATATGTAATACCTTAATGAATTTTTAATTTATATTTTGATCTATAAATCTATATACACTAATTTGACCCTTTTCCACAGTTAGGATTTTGTTGGAGATCATTATTATAGTAAAGTTATTAATAACAGAAATAATCGTTCATTTCGTAACATAGAATATACAAGAATATTTCTTATTTTACAAATTAAAAAAAGTAAAAATATATTATAAATTCACACATTATTTTATTATTTTAACATAGGTGTGATGTTATTTATTTAAACAAACACTCAACGTACATTCATCTATTAAATACACTTAAAAACTTGTATCATTGTTATAGTAAAAAACCTATATGTATGTAAAACAAATTAAACATGGACATAATGTATAAGACTGATATCGGTTTCAAACCTTCTGGGCAATATTAAACAATATACAAAAACAACATATTTATGTGCCTACACAAAAAACCGTACACAAATTGTGTACACAGTTTTTCGTTTCTAACTTTTGTGAGTAAGTATGGAAAATATGGTATGCCACTATAATAAAATAACACGTTTCAATTAGTTTTCAACCTCTAATGGTATAGTTTTCTTTATAGTGTTCAACATTTGATATTATATTCACAACAATTTAGCACGAAGATGATTTATTTTTTAGTCATTATTATTTTATGGACAACTCCAGGTACATAATATATTTTATAAATACATTAATAGTTTTGGTTCTTTATAATTTGATTGCAACAATCTCTAAGCGTTATTACAGAGGATGTATAATACCTTAATGACTTTTAAAAATCTTTTAAACAATGCTAGTATCACACTTAAGTTAAAATTAGAACATAAAAACGAACTTTAACATTCAATAACTACACTAAATAAATAGTTAATTATTATCAACTAAAGTGGTTCTAAACCACAGTTCATTTTTCATAATCTAAGTATAATTTTTGTGTTTAGCCAAAATATGTATGTAATTCAAGTTCACAATTTTTTTTCTTGTATTTACGTAGTTAACATGTTATTTATTTGAATAAACTAACACTAGGGTTTTATAGGTTGTATACAATATACAACGTACTACACGCCCTAACACACAAAAACTTAAAAACATTGTAACTGTTTTCAGAGAAAACTAATGTCTTACATTGATTATTATATTTTAACGATAACAGCTTTTCAATTATTAAACCGTATTGTTTTAGCTCAATAACACTATTTTTATTATTTGATTTTAGCATTTTATTATCCTGTTGAGTGTTCATCTTCGTATGAAGCCGAACTTGAAAGTCTAAAGCATATCAATCACGTTGAATTTTTTAACAACGACAATAGCAATCTGTATCTAGATAACAGGTATGTAGGTAGAATTATATTTTCAACAATCAACTTGATTAGTTTTAATATTGGTATAATTTTCTGTTTACATAATGAATTTATTATTTAAAATATTTCTAAAAGTAATAACCAATTTATAAAATTTAAATTTAAATTAAAAACTTTAATTAATTTTTAATACATTTTTGGAAAAATTTAAGCTAGTGCTATCCTATTATAGATATAATATTATTGGGAGGAGAATTATTTTCTATAATAACACAAATACCTAGCTAATATATCATAACTATTAAGGAAAACTCGTAAGACATTATTTACCTTGATCAGAATGTCTATTTGAACTACATAAAAAGTGAAACATAATAATAATAATTTTTTAATAATTTGTAATTGTATTGTAGTAAATTATAATGTTTATTTCAGATTTTCTGATGTTGTTTTAATTGTCGATGGAGAACGTTTGGACGCTCATCGTGAGATTTTAGCCTCACGCAGTGAATATCTTAGGTATTTAGTTCTTGTTATTGAGCAAAATTGATATTATTAATTGACGTCAAGTGGTTTTTAGAGTGATAGTAAAAATGGCTAATAGTAAATAGGTATTTATCGATAAACGTAGTAAGAACTCACTATTGTTTGTCAGATATCGGTCACAACCCAAAACAATTAATTTGTTTCAATTAAAAACTATGGTATTAAATTTAAAAATGGGTTTTAAAATCATTACAAAATTTGAATATTGAATTAAAAAAAATCTTTTAATAGCATAAAACATTTTATATGGTTAAGGACCCTGATTTTGATTACTTTTTAAATTTGTTTTTGTAATAAATGAGGCATAGTAGGTATTTTAACTTATTTTAACAAATTTATTGTAAATATTTGTACTATTGATTCAATATTATTTAGCTTCCCAAACCAAAACCAGAGTTTACGGTAAGTTTTAGAGAGATAGTCTATGAAGTCAGACTACAAAAGACTGGTGCCTTACTGATTGTGGCACTTATATTTCGACGCCCCCTACAATGAAAACAGTCGTAACTCACTTTATTTTTAACTGATAACATGCGTTTTCTGTGTTATCGGCAAAAAGGGTATAGTAACTTGACTGTGTTCAGAACATCTTTGGCCGATTCAAGATACGACCATCTTTGCCGGTTATACAGAAGGCGTGTATCATTAAAACAAAACTTATTTTCAAAAGTGAGTTACGATTTTTGCCGTTGGGGGCGTCAAATTAATTGTTTGTATTAATATCATGTATGATTTCTAGAATCTTATTGTATGGAGGTCTTCAAGAATCCGATAAGCCTGAGGTGAACATTAGTGGTGTATCGGTAACCTCATTTAAAAAAATTCTCAAGTATATTTATACCAGTCGGATGAATTTAAGTGGTCTAAAGGTGACGTATAATCGATGTACCTTAACGTTATTCTAACTACATATACCCTATTTTTTTAAGAGCTGTGTAATCGCTTAGGTCGATCGGTTGTGTTTTATCAGTTATGTTAGGCAAATATATTTATAAGAAAACGATTGATCAAAGATGTAATTTTTTATTTTTTAGGATACATTCATTGTGGAATTATTTAGTCTCTCGAATTTATATGGATTTTCACAATTACAACGTTCACTGTCCAATTATTTACGCTGTAACACTAATGCAAACAATGTATGTTTGTTGTTTGCTATGACGCAACTTGAAGACCGAACCCTCGTTGTACATACACCCAAATATCTGCTCAAGTTCATCGAAACTCACACTTTGGATGTATTGCAATCCGAAGATTTACTGTACATACCGCTGGTATTGATTTTTTTTTTAATAAGAAAATAATATTACTCGTGTTAGGTGACAAGTTATGAAACAAATTTTATTTTTAGGGAGTTCTTCAAGAAATCATCATTCGTGACACGTTTTATGCAAACGAATTGGATATATTCCGTGCGGTTTATCGCTGGATCATAGAGAACCAAGACATAGATTCTGGTGCAATAAACGAAATGTTGTCTGCTGTTAGATATCCATTAATGAGTGATGGAGAACTGGATGAGGTCAGCATATCACAACTGGTTAGCTCGGCTACAATTTCGGATGCCAAATTGTTACGAAACACTGTGCCACCACATATGCTTCAGTTTAGAGGACAGCAAAGTATGCCTGTTGTACACATAGCTTTGTATTCAGCGAATTATGTCGGTCTTAATTATTTTAATTTTCAGATGTGAATCTTGTTAAGGGTTCTCAAGGTGCTCTGGTTATTGATAAAATTGACGGCGGTGCTATGGTAAAGTTGGGCCATCCAACAGTCATAAACCATATGTCAATTATATTTGGGGATACAGATTCTGGGTATGTTTATCACATAGCAATAATTATTTTTCAAGATTTATTAGTAATAAAAAAAAAGAAACAACCGTTTGTTCGATTCAATTCATTTTTCAGGAATTACAGTTATTACATTGATGTTTCAATGGATAAACTCGATTGGGTGCGTGTTGTAGATTATTCAGATTATATTTGTCGTTCTGTTCAAAATTTGTGGATTCCTCTACAAATAGTGTTGTACATACGAATAGTTGGCACGAAAAATACTCTTAATAAGACTTTCGAACTAATTGAAGTCTCGTACAATACTGAAAAATGGCACTTGATAAAAATCGAAAATGGATTACAGGGTAAGATCACCCCTACCCCACCCACCAAAAAAACTCCAATTTTATAACAATACAAAAACATAATAAATATTTATCTAGCTGACTTGTTCTAATTTTTTAGCTCCCAAGTACAATGTCGCTTTAAATAATGCATTTGTAATTGAAGGTGAAACACATAATTGGGAACATTCCCTCTTTGAGCTCTCCTATAACAACTTGTATCGTGATTATACAACACATCAACTGGGATCGGGTAGTATTTTGGTTCAACTCGCACAACCTTATATACTTAGTTCAATGAGGTAATGGTTTAAAGGACATGCCATTTTTAAATGAATATTTGTTTTTATATCTATACATTTGTCGGTGGTACACGATTGCAAACGTTTTTCTTTGAAATTATTAGTATTATTGTTAAGTTATTATTGCAGATAACGTAATATTGTACTTATGTTTCGATTATAAATTCTTATTGTGTTGTTAACTAAGAAAACAGCAACATTCATTTCAGCAAAATTTGTTTAAATGCTAGGTTTCACAGGAAAATAGACTATATAATATTGCTAGAATTATAGATGTTATTGTTAAAATTGACAGGATGCTGCTTTGGGGCATCAACCGAGACTACGGCTACACTATAGATGCTTCTCTCAATAATCAAGATTGGGAACCGATTGTAGACAAATCTGAAGAACGGGCAAGGCATTGGCAGGTGTTGCGATTTAAAGCTAGGCCGATAGTGTTTATTCGTATAACTGGCAAACGTGTTTATACTGGATTAGGCAATGTGAGTAAAATTAATATAAACGTTTTTTGTTCACTTCTACTAACTTATTTATGTTGTAGGTGTTTTGTTGTACATATTTGGAGGTTCCTGCTCAAAAAGATTAAATTCCGACGATAGTGAGGTATTAAATTAAAAGTGAGTTTCGTGAAATTTAATACATACCCTCATTTTTACCATCATGATGACAAATATTTCACGAAATTTCTGTTTTTAGGTAGATAACGAAACAGATAATCTGATATCAGAAACATTGACTCAAACTTCTGTTGTTTAACTAAATTAAAAATATAAGTATATTTATATTTCTTGTGTGCCTGCCAAGATTGACAGCTATATTATATATTTTCTTTTATACTATTTAAACTTACTTACAATAAAAAAGTTTTGTTTTAGTTTAAAATTGTAAGTAAATTTGTTTGTTCTTGAACACACAAAAATAGTGTGTATTGTTTAACATAATTGACAACTTATTGAAAACGCAAATATATGCTTGTCAGAACTTGAAAAAAATTAATTGTTGACCACTGCTAAGCTGTAGAACAGCAATTTGATTTCAACAACGAACAGAAAGAACGTTTGAAAGTAAAGAAGATACAAACTTATAAGTAGCCAACGAACTTTTTAGTCAATATAGATTAGTGGATAAACTTCCAAGTTTTGAATAAAGGAAAAGTTTTTTAATCGAAACAACAGAATGTACACTAATTGAATTGTTGACGGTCTATTACTAGAAGATGTGTGTTAAAAATTAAAATTATTCAACAGATCAAATTCTTATAGTATCGACTCGATGCATCAATTAAAAGAGAAGTTGCAGACCGCAGTGAAAAAAAGTCACAGCTTTATAGCATTTGTTAAAGGAAAAAGTCATACAATTTGTAGGTTTTAAGGCAACTCGTAATTTTATTATTTGTACAACGACAGGAAATAATTAATGCAAAACCAAAGGCGTATTTTTTTGTACTTATATTGAATCTCCAACGATATCAAACAGGTACTCGAGCTATATGATATGTCATTATATAGGGTAAACAAAAATATTACTAAAATTATTAATGAAACTTACTGGAAGTTTGATTGGAAAAAATTGTAAACTATTTATTTTTAAACCGTAAAATAACTATTATATAATTAGCAGAGGAGATGTTTTAACGTCGAGAGATTATTGTTGAGCGCTATTGTATTATCTTTAGTAAAATATTATTTGAAAACGCTAAGTGTTTTTAACTATTTTTCTAACTAATGATTATAAACATAAATAAAGGTTGATTAAATAAGTGAAATGTCGACGTCTGTTCTCTTCTAACGTTTTCTGATATTTTGACTTTTTGTTATAGAATATACTTGTGTTATCAAAAAAAAAAAACAATTGCAGAAAGTAAAATAAAAAACCTTAAAATACGTTTTTGTTTCAGAATATATTAACTTTTTTGTGTAATTATAAAAGCCATATTAGAGCCCTGTTGTTTAAAGATGCATTCAAATTTAAATCGTTATTTAAATAAAAAGTTATTCGACAAATTTGAATAGGAAATAGACCTAAAAAGGAAGAATGTTCATAGGACACCCTGTATTTTATTTTTGCAAGTAAACGACAATATCGATGGCGTAGTACACAGATGTTCATGCGTACAATATAACCTTCTACTAACCTAACCTACCGAACCTTCTAATATTATTATACACATACATTAGAACACAGAGATTCAATATTTTACCGGTTAAAATATGTAATGTACAATATGTAACATAGAGATTAACATCGAGAGCCGCTGCTGTAATATTAAAAAACAAATTGCCCATTCATATGTACACAATGCCGTAGAATAGCTTAAAAAAAACATCAATTTTTGATTCAACAGTTTTATTATTTTTTTGAACGCACTGTATAATATGTACGTGTATGTTTTACCAAATGACGGTACGGTTTTATTGTTTGCTCAAAACGAATCGGTGATTTCAAGTGGATTCGTTCGGCAGTTGGTTCTTTAGTAGCAAAACAGACAGCCATGGCTTACGAGACAGTTTGCTCGATAACGATCGTTATTATCACCTGCGCCTGTTTCGGACGGATTACTTGCGTGGAAACCGACACAGACGTTGGCGGCCAGAGGAGAGTTCTTGGACTTGATACCGTTAAGGAGCTTAACTTAGGGTACGGAAACCTTGAGGATTGGACAACCGAATCGCACGACATTGTCGATAGCCAAGAGTTGAACACGCGGTTAAATAGCGTGTACAGGGAGGTGCAGTGCAGTTACGCGTATGGCGCTCTGACACACATGCGGTTGACCAAAATACTTTTGGTCGACAAACACCTGTCAGGTTCGATAGGGCGCAACATAAGATTTTCGTTCACTCAACCGGCCGCTCTGATGTTGGATACTGTTCGCAAGGTGCCGGCGCTGTGCTCCATCCGAGACCCGATGTGGTTGTTTTTGTTATACACACAAATGGCGATCAAGCAACTGGAATCGGTTGCTTTGGGAGACGGCAACGTCTGGGACCAGAACCAACAACAGGCGGTGCTATCCGTTCACGAGGCCGTCGACAGACTGCTGGAAGAGTTCATGGTTGAATTTTGCGTCGAGTTCAATAGAAAAAACGACCCACCGACGGCGGTCGAAGATCCGGAAAAGTCACTTTGGGCGTGCTACGAAGACAATTACCAGACGATCATTAGCCAAGTCAAGGACAACCGCTGTAAGCTCATGTCGCCGTGTGAATTTGCCGCGGTCGAGCAAAAGTATTCGCCGTCCCGACTGAGTCTGAACTACATATTCGATGCCGGCGATTACACTGCTACCGTTGTCAGGCTGTTTGGAAATACTTACGGCACCGAAAAACGACAAGAGATCGTAGACCACTTGATAGAGCATTACAGGGTTGGTACAGATCAGCTGCCAAGCGTCGCGCTGAACGTCCGGATAAAAGCGCTCAGCGCCTTTCACAATGACTTTGTGCAGCTTTTGAAAATAATGGCGTTCCGGAACGTCTGGGACTACATGAAAACCGTAAGCGCGGTCGGCGTGTTGCACTATTCGGTGAGTTTGTATCTTTTTTACAACGTCAGCGTCTACAACAAACAAATGTCAGAACTTCTTAAGGAGTTTGCCGAATGTCTGGATCTAACAGATGACCCAGATGTAAAAATTGTACTGGCCCGGTTGAACCGTTTCGTATTGTTTTCGACATGCGGCAGCACTGCCGATGGACAGGCGATGACCAGTGCGATGAACAATGCAATTTCAAAATTGTCGATCAGTCGACTGATGAACTATATGGATCTACCGGAGAAGGGCGAACGGAATATTACCAAACAGGTAGTATACGTTCAACATCTGATGGATAAAAATTACAAGAAAACAATGATCACGTGGGACGTTAAAAAAACTAAAACATTTGTGGACCACCTGAAAAAAACTTTCTGTAACAAAATCGATTTCGGGGTAATCCACAATTTTGTGCAACTTCAACATTCGCCCGTGTTTCAGCACTTCACTGATTTGGAACTATCAATACGTGGATAATGCATACTTATAATAATACAAGTAATAAAAATGTATACATAATAGTATGTACGTTATTTTCAATTTTCTTCTATAAATTACTTTTATATAAATGAACTTTGCACAATTAAACAAAATGAAAAAAGGATTTTTCCTAACGTTATTGTTCATACTGCCCAACTATAAACCTGATATTTTCCCAAAATCGTAGACAACCAAAAAAAAACAATAATTTTATTCACCGATTCGTGTAGAAATTTAACACATTTCAAAACACCATAACACAACAGTACGTGTCTATGTAACGGAGCCAAACAAGAAGAGTGACGTGTACAACCCACATATAAAAAATAAACTTGCCATTGAAAAATAAATTTAACAAAAACATGTATTTTGCGTACGAAGGAATTCCATTTTCTTAGCTTAAATATGAGTTTTAGATACTTAAATCCGTTGTTTTGGCTACCACAATACTTTTACATATTCCTAAGTTGCAGTTACAGAATCATAAAAGTTTGTTCATTATTTTAGAAAATCGATTTTAATCTAGCGATTGTTTAAAATCGAGCACGTACAATATGTTTGCTGTATCGTTAGGTTTATTTCAATTTATTTTTCGTTAAAGTCTGGTGGTTTACACATCAATATATTGTATAGTACCTATTTGACAATTCGTCACATGATAAAAGTTATGATTGTGTTTAGATACACACAAAGAAAATCTTAGATAAAAAGTACAAAAAAACCATTATAGTGGGGACGGGGCATAGTAGGGATGGAGATGTCACAGGTTTACAGGAATTATTATAATATATAAAAGTCATATATCATTCGCAATGAATCGCGTTCAAAGAAATGTTAAATAATTAAACTT